TGCTTGTCCCCAAGCAAACCTAACTCAAACCAATGCAGCTCTCCAGACCTCTATAGCAACATACAACCCCGATCGTCGGTAGAGGACTTTCTAGATCAAAAAGCAGCTTACGAGGTTAACTGGTCTTCTAAGACGTCCCTTATCTCTCTCAATGCGAGTACTAGACTCAAGCCAGGATCATGAGAAGCAGTGGAAGTAAGACAGTTGGATAAAGGGACTCATATCATTCACAACCAAGGACTCGTTGTACCGGGGTGCTCTTTCACTTCATTTCACCGTTGGAACCCCTTTTTGCACTTTCATTCACATTTTTCTTGTTTTGTTTTTTTTTCTTATACTTAGCCGGGGTTCCAACTGCAGTCTTTTGCATGGTCGACCCTTATTAGTCTAGCAAGAGCAATTTCTGTACATCTGGCGCTCACCAGAGTACTTCTTTTAACTCCTTTTCCTCAACTTGTGTGTAGGGTCAATGAAATTAAGGGGGGTCGGAAGCTCTATCCGTGCCCTTAAAAACACATCCTCAAGTAGGCAAACCGTTCAACGGGTGGAATTTTTACTTGTACTAGAGACAACTTAGCGTCACCTTGTAGGAGTACCCACTAAGGATCACTAAAATCTCTTCCAAAACCCGATTTTGTGCAATGAACGGTGCCACACACGTTGGGCTTACCCCATGTTTTAGATTTAATGATTTCGACATGGAGGACCAACTACTTTTCATTTTCCACATGAGCACCCTGTTCGATACACGAGTCCATAACACAATCCAAACAGAGTCACCATTACCACATGAATTCAACGGTCTTAGCTCCACTAATTCACAAAATCAACTGGCACAGCAGAGAGCTAGATAGGAAAAATCTTATACGTCAACATCCTCCATAGTGCTACACTACCTCCCTAGGTTGCACGTTACTATAGAGACTGTCAATTCAAAGCATACTGAGCAGGCAATTTGCAAGGAAACACGTACTTGGAGCCCTCAAATTTAAAAATTTTGGGCAGTGGACTAGGCTCCAAGCACACAAACAGCCAAACATTCACCAGCATACATAATCAAACATCCCCCCACACTTAAGCACGACATTGTCCTCAATGGAGGAAAGATAAGGAGGGTAGAACGAAGTTACCAGATCAAGGGTGAATGATGATGGACGGTGCATGATGACTCGATATTTGCACATGTTTTCCCCTTTGTTTCTTGATCGTTTAAGCTTGCATTATCGCTTCTTTGGCCTGTTTTATGCTAGTTTGTGTTCCTTTGTCACATTTCAGGCCCTAGCACATAAAGTGAAGCGTAGGCGCAAGTTTCAAGTCAATCGGAGATCAATTGGCGATTAGGGAGAAGAAACACGAGCATGACCTGAAGAAGAATGGATTTCTACCTCACTTTATGAACAAATAATCATGAAAGCTTGTTATGAAAAGAAAGAGGACGAGACTACGAGCGTCTGGGTTCAAACGGCGACTGATTTGGAGTCCGGACGAGGGAGAAACGAAGCTTTGAACAGGGGTGGAGGAAGAATTACGGGCAGGAGAATTACGACCGTAATTTCCCCTCCCTTGCCCGTAATTTCACTGCCGAGAGGAGCTTTTGGTGCGCTGAAACTTAACCAAAACGCGTGTTTTGGGCCAAATACGGGCATGGAAGAATTACGACCGTAATTCAGCCCGTAATTCGCCCAGAATCGGGTTTTTGAGGCAGATTAGAGCCAAAGGAAAGGGAGAGCTGGGGTTTTGGTTCAAAAACACCCAAGGGACGAACCCTAGAGAGAGAGAACGACTTGGGAACATTCTTGGAGCTATTTTGGAGGATTTCTTCGCCATTGGAGCTCGGGAATCAAGCTTGGAGATGGAGATTGAAGATCTAGATCAGATTTCTGCAGTCTCTCTCTTCTCTATGGAGTAACTTCCCTTCACTTAGGTTTTGAGGAACCTTAGTTCCATGAGTTAGGATCTTTCTTGTATGAAGTTTTGGATGCTATATTGTTTGATTATAATCGAATGATGCATGTTTATTGAGTCAATTGAAGTCTGATCAACTTTTCCTGATTCCTGCTGCAATCTGAGATAGATAGAATCTGATTAGGTTGCTAGAGTCTCATCATTCGGTAGTAGGAGATTGGCTATACGAGAGTTAGCCAGTTTACTGCTTTGTACTGGAATCCAATTCCAGTAGTGGAGTTATGTGCTTATTGCTTCAGCTTTCTATCCTGGTGAAGACTAGTCGTCTGCCGGATAGTTAGACTGAGAGGGCTTGGTCAGCTTAAGAGATTCCAAGCTACTGTCGGATCTTCCGCAGTTTAATCAACAGTAAATCAACCAAAAGTAATTACAACTTCGACCTAATTGAGGAGCTAGGGGGAATCATACCTAAGTGAGTTCCCAAACTGTAATTAGTAGTTTTACTTAGTTTAGTTAGTAGAGTAGTTTAGTTAATCAATCCTTAATCTAGTTTGCTAGATAATGAACTGAAGCTGAGTAATAGTAACTCTAGAGACCCGTGGATTCGATATTTATTACTTGTGCCACTATACTGCAGTCCCTTTCATTGGTTACACTTGGCCATTGTTAGGTGTTGTGTTTTAGAGCATCAGTGCAGGCGGTGTATTCCAGGAGGAGAGAGTAGTCGGAACACAAACACCACAAAATCTCACAAAGGTTGAGTTATTGACTCTAAAATCAAAGAACAAAATTGACTCAACCAAGGTGAAATAGAGAAAGAAATGCAAACAAACTGGTTGGGTTGCCTCCCAACAAGCGCTTCTTTCATGTCGTGAGCTGGACGATTGTTCCTAAGTTTCGGTCCACCCCAAAACCTCCTTGAAGTTGAGGTTCTCGTCGATGAGGTGGAGTCTCAAGTCACGAGCTTGTGGTATGACAGGTGATGGAAGCTCGTGCACTTGATGCATATAACGTCTCCACCCTCGAGACCTCTTCTTCTCTTCTCTCGTCTCATTGCCCCAAACTAGATATGACAGCATAAATTGGCCACCATCGCGTCCACCAAGAGGGACCGATGTCGGCGTGGCCTTGGTCTGGCAAAGAGACACTGCAATTGGGTCCTTGCTAAGTAGTTCCTTGAAGTTTCTAATTCAGCCCAACAAACCTGGCGTCTGGGAAGCACATGCACATCCTTCTCGATTAGAGCTTCAGTAGTTGGGAGGATACGCTGAAAGATTTTCCAGAAAAACACCTTCAATTTGGGCGAAATATTAACTTCCCATAAACGAATCCAGCTGGTCCTATCAATCCAAATAGCTATGGACCGCCATCGACCCTTGCACTTATCAAGTAAGACAGCAAGGTGATAAGCCGATTTAACCGTAAATGCCCCGTTAGCCGTGTCGTGCTAGATCATTCTATCCTCCATATTCTGACGCGGAAGAGGAATAGCTTTGATGGCACGGCAGGTTGGCGGGTCAAACCACTGACTTAGTTTTCGGTCACACTAACGCCCTTCTCCTTGACACATAAACTTAGGTATTGGTGGGTCCTCCCCTCCAGTAACACAAGATGATTATACTCCGGAGGACAGGGACGTAATCGAGGGATCCATTTGGAATGAAGTAGTGAAGCAGACTACCCATTCCAAGTTTGCCAGTCTAGCCCCATCTCCAACAACTGCCTACCATAGAGGATGCTTTGCCTACCCCACGATGGGCGAGAGCGAGCCGTGGCACCGATGAAAGTCCTCGTTGGAAAATATTTCCCTTTATAAACCTGGGCTAAAAGTGATTGGAAACGGTGAAATCCCATACCCCCTTCATGCTTACTTTTGCACATATTGCGCCAGGATATCCACCGAAACATGTTTGTCAAAGAGCCGGCATAGAGATAACGGTAGCTTGAAACTTGACATAACATGCAATGGCAAAGCGAACGCAATTGATTTCATCAAAGTTTCCTTAGCTTCCCAAGATAACGTCCGCTACTTCTAACCCTGCAGTGGCTCAAGAAACTTCTCCTCCAAATATCGGAAAGTAGCCATTTTTGACCGGGTAATCAGCATTGGCAATCCCCTGATACTTATCATGTACCCCAACCGCCCCGACTCCTAGAATTTGGGCCAAGAATTCCTTGTCTGGCAGAGCAATATTTTTGCTAAAGCAAACTGCCAGCTTATCCAAGTTCACCCTCTGTCCTCTCAACTTCTCATATTCATGCAAGACCTCGATCAAATTCTCACAATCCTGGAGGGATCCTCGCAGAAATAAATATTAACCATCTGCAAAAAAAAAAAAACATATGTGAGATTCGTGGAGCTCGAGGAGCCACTTTGACACCTTCCAATTTTTCGGCCGAAATAGCTCTTTGGAGGAGTGTCGCAAACCCTTCCGTGCAGAGCACAAACAAGAGAGGCGAGAGAGGATCACCCTGACGGAGTCCCCTAGACGGTGAGAAGAAACCTAAGGGAGGGTCATTCATTAACATTGAAAATGACGTTGACCTGAGGCATTCATGTATCCATCCCTTCCAGATAGAGTTAAAACCCATCTTTCCAAAAACGCAAGAAGAAATGGTCATTCGACTCTATCATAGGCCTTTTACATGTGAACCTTTAGAGCCATGTACCCTTTCTTACCTCTCGTTTAAATTTTTAGGTAGTGCATTAACTCATGTCCAATGAGGATGTTCTCAATAATTTGTCGTTCCAGAATGAAAGCTTTTTGACCCTCCGAGATTATCTGTGGTAAGAGGCAATCATGTCTTTCAGCCATGATTTTAGTTATAACTTTATAAACATACTAGCATATGCTGATTCGACGCATTTGTCTCATAGTCTCCACATTATCCACTTTGGGAATCAAGGTGATCCAAGTATGATTGAAGCTCCGGAGCATCGTACTTAAAGAATGAGCAGACTGTTTCAATCATAAAATTTACCACAATATCCCTGAAGGCATTAAAGAATTTACCAGTAAAACCATATGATCCTGGTGCCTGTTTCGACCCCATGGAAAATACCGTTTTCCGTACTTTGCTAGGGAGTACCTCAACCGTCAAATTGCCATTAATTTTCGGAGTAACACTGCGAGGGATGGGGAGAGTCGCCACCCTATTAGCCATATTTGGAAATTGAGTCTCCGAGGTAAAAAGAGTCTGATCAAAATTATTAGCAATGGATACTTTCCCATTTTCTTCAATGATCCATTCTCCATTGTCACTGTGAAGGCCGGATATGAAGTTCTATTTTCGACGGGCCCTCGTAACCGTATGGAAATAGGATGTATTTTATCCCCTTTTTCAACCATCGAACTCTGGAATTTCGCTGCCAGTAGATTTCCTCCGCCTCCCATTGCTGATTTAGCTCAACTTCTAGGCTCCGGATCACAACCCAATCAATGCGATGAATCAATTTTGTCCGGTCAATCTCAGCCTGGAGATTTTTAATATTACGCATTGAATTCTTAGTGCCCGACCTACTCCAATCATACAACAAATGGAGTAACTTCTTAAGGCGTTCCCAAAGTCGAAACATAGGGGTACCCTGAATACAACAAATTGAATTCTTAGTGTCCGGTCAATCTCTTGCTAGACGTAATTCACCATGCCTTGACCTCCGCATTATACGCCCAACGGGCATCAAATCAAAAAAGGGGGAGGCTATTCCGAGCATAATGCTTGCCAGAGAGGAGAAGGGCTCGATGATCTAATCCTTGATCCGTGAAGTGTTTGATCAAGGTATCCAGGTATTGATCAATCCAAGGGTGAGAGCAAAGAGCTCTATCCAACCTCTCACGAATGCAAGCTACGCCCATACGTTTGTTCGTCCTAGTGAACTGATCATACTGGTAACCTGGGTCATGAAGGCCCAAATCCTGGATAAAGTCACGCAAGCTAAGAGATTGAGCAACATTCCACGACAATCCACCATTCTTTTCACTCTCATGAAGAGTAGTGTTAAAATCACCAATGGCAGCATAGGGCAGGTGGATATTATCACAAATCTCACGTAGCTGAGCCAATTGTGTAGCTCTTATTGCAACATTACAACTAATGTAAACAAAAAATCACGACATAAAAAAATCCACTTCATTAATTTGTGTACAAATACAAAAGTTAGAATGAAAAAACACTGAAGCGTCAACCCGAGGGACCAAGCAAACACTAAACCTCCAGATGCATCAATCGCATAAACAAAGAAACAATGAGAATGATGAAAACCTAACCCCCACATATGACGGGAAACTACTCTCCGGCTCGATCGTGTTTTCAGAGAAAAACAAGAGATCCGGTTTATTAGAATGAACTAAACTGAGAGCTATTTGGAATATGAGTGATGGTCCAATTCCCCTCACATTCTAGGCCAGTCGCCTCATTTATCCGATGAGGGCCACTCGAGGCTGGCTTCCTCCACCTTATCAAGAACTTCAGCTAATTCCACAAATTGTTTTTTCGGTATAGAAGGATCTCCCACTTCTCCCTCCATTTTATCCGGCGCATGTTTTCGATTCCCAATTACAGGGTCCAGCAAATTAGAACCATATTCATTCAGCTGCCAGGTAGATCAATTGTCATCTTCTTGATGACGTCCCATGATAGTATCAATCACAGGATCGCCAGCAAGATGAGGTCGAGAGTCTCCCTCATCCTTTGCAAAGATCAGACTAGCCTCAAAAGCTGCCACCACTTGGTTTACACGACCCTTCCTAGTTTGGCGGGTCTGTTTGGATGCACCAGCTGGCGATTGCTGCTTGATCTCAAAGGATTCTATGTCCTCCGTCGAATGATATCCATCAGAGTCAAGGACATCTTGGTGATCCTCGGGCGTGGCAACGTCAGAATCAACAAGGGCCTCCTTCTCTTCTTGACCCGAGGGTGCCTCAAAAGGGATTGATAGCTGCTCTTTTTTCTAATTCGGCGTCGCAAAGTGCTGGTCACCATTGATGAACCGCTAGGCCGATTTTCTTCAGTGGCAGGCTAACTTAGGGAGTTGAATCCCGTTGTAGGGCCTCATTTGTGAAGGATATGCGAGTAGTCTTCTTCATTTTGCTTCCCTCCAGATCTTGAGTGGAACCACCATTCTTGTACGAGACACTCTTAGTGAACATAGTTTTATCCCGAGGCTGCATGAGAAGCACGAGCAGCTCTTGGGCGTCAACTAGGATAGTGTCATCATGCTCGATCTCCTCCTCCTTAGAATCATCTTCGAGGATGAGTCGATGACGATGGGACTGCTCCAGGATCACAGCAGTCTGATCAGCATCCACCCGTCGTTGGGGAGCAAGCTTGGATTGTCTTCCATGAAGGTTGGAGTCCTCCCTCGGAGATCTCTTCCCTCGGGAATCCCCTGGGGCTGCCACGCCTCCCGGTTGGCCTGTCATCAAGGTGTATAAATATGGGTTTGACCTCTTTGCGAGCAGGAGACTCTGTACCAGCCATTAAAGGAAGACAGGTACGTAGCAGGTCAAGTCGTTTGGCTTGTATCTGCCCCACCTCCATGTCTCGATCCCGATCCATCCGCCCATTCCCATCCTATTTCTCGCGAATATTCTGATTCACCCAAACCGATTTTTGGGCATTCTGAAAATTAGATTTCTCTTCCTCATCATTTTATAGTTTCCTACCAATTTTCCTTGTGGACACGTGCGGGCCAAAGCGCTCCTTTCTAGGAGGGGGATCAAAAGCACAGTCAAGTTTTGAGTGCCCACTGCCCACAGGGGTAACAAAAGATAAGTAAGAATTCATATTTCAGATTTACCCAGAAGCAACCAAGCTCTTCACTAGTCGCATGAGTTGGGAGTGTAAAGGCTTGGTAAAGTCTATGAGTGCTCGCACTTTCACAAAGCATTCATTTGTGTCTTTGGATGGGAAGACACCTGCCTCCAAAACCTATCCAATAGTCCCATGTACCACTTTTTGACCAAACTGTTTGGTGCAACAATCATCTTTCACGTTCCAGAGCTGGACTCAAAATCGAGCAATATTAATGGCCAAATCATCAAAGTTATGTTTTGTGTTGTGGATGACCAGGACCGGAGATGGAGGATTTTGTCTATGACAACCCACGAGGTTTGTTTTAGGGCCCCGACCCTTGCCTCGACATTCGGCAGAACAATTTCGAATAGGCCATGTTTTGTCGTAGACACCCGGAGTTGTCCTTTCACTTTCCAAGGAGCGAGTAAAGCATCCATGAGCTCCATGGGTATGATTATGGTATTGGTGAATAGCCTTCCCAATAATGTGTAGAAAGTTCAAAATTTCACTGATTGAACCTTCTAAAGCAAAAATTGTACCTGACACGCTACGACACAACACCAAACTACGACAAAGTATAATCACAGTCTGGAAATGCAGAATAGTGGTTAAGTTTAATTTATCAACCCGGGGTCTAGATCTACTTCCTACTCCGTGAACTTCTATTATCTAGTGGGACCTAGTGAAGGTGAAATCAAACTAAATAGAAAGAAAACTGTAAATTGTTCGAAGTTCTTGAGCAAAGGAAGAGTCACTTGGGATTGAGTCTCCCAAACTCCTTAGTTAGGTCCAAGTTGTAATTTCCTTTGGTCGATTCACTATTGATTAAACTGCGGAAGATCCGAAAGTAGCCTGGAATCTCTTAAGCTAACCAAGCCTTCTTAGACATACTAGCCGACAGACGACTAAGTCTTCACCGGGATATAATGCTAAGGCAATTAACACATAAATCCACTACTAGAAACAGATTCCAATACAAAGGAGTGAATTGAATAACTCTCGTATAATCAATTCACTCCTATCGATTGAAGAAGCTCTAACAACCTAATCAGATTCTATCTATCTCAGGTTGCAGCAGAAATCAAAAGAAGTTGATCAGGAATCAATTGACTCAATAAACACACTTCAATCCAAAAGTCATTACAACTCAAATCCCTAACACATAAACTAGGGTTCTTCATACCCAAGTGAGAGAAAGATCTACTCCATAGAGAGAGAGAGAGAGAGAGAGAGAGAGAGATTAGAAAACAACAATCAGAGGAAACATACTCATAATGATGTATACGATAAGCTCTGAGATGATAATCTTCACTCCAAGGTCGAAATCCAAGCTTGATCGATGAAACCTAGCTCCAAAATAGATCCTAGAGTTTGGTCTTCGCTCTTTCTCTCTCTAGAACTCCGTTCTTTGCTCTGAAAATTCGATTCTCCTTCTTTTGGTTCGAAACTACCAGTTTAACTCGAGACCGGTAAAACACGGGCGTGTCCTTCTAACCCCGCCCGTGTTCTTCAAAATCACGTGGGAAAACTCAGACCGATGTTGGGAAAACACGCCTGTTTGCAAGGAAAACATGGTCGTGCCCAAATAAGGGACACGACCATGTTCCAACCATGACCGCCCTTGTTTTGCATTCTTCAGTAGCAATCATACATCAGCTCTCTGATTTAAAAACACTAGCGTAGAACACGGTCCTGCTTTGGGGCAATGGCGCCCGTGTTTTGCCCTGGCATCGTCTCGACCTGCGCACTAAAAAGCACTAGCGTGCTAATCAATGACCACGACCGTGTTCTTGAGTGAGGTTGCCCGTGTTTTGCTCCAGCTTCACCGAATGACCTCTAAACGACCCAAAACTCGCGCCTAGACCTTTCTTTGACGTCTGGGACCTGAAATGTGACAAAGAACGCAACCTAGCATAAAATAGGCCAAAGACACATGACTACGAGCCAAAATGGATAAGAAACGAGGGTTCAAACGTGTGCAAATACAAAGTTATCAGTACCACCTGGTCGTTCGCGATTGAGTTATCATGTGAACCTGAGAAGAAGAGGGAGACAACGTATTATGTATTTCGTGTTGTATGTCCCCGTTCGACCCTCCCTTTGGGTACGATGCATGCGAGTAGTGGGAGGGAGAAACTGGATTTTATTCTACAACCAAAGTTCTGGCTATCGAGCAAGAGCAGGGGAGAGAGCTTTGGGGAATAGTCTCAATACCTGGAGAGAGCTTGATAGCACGTTGCTGTTGCCGGAGTTTCGCTATACTTTCCTCCTCTAAGAACACTTCTTGTCAATCGCTGCGTGGGAGAGTGTTTAAAAGAGGGTTAGTAATTTTATAGGTGAGAGAAGCAGACGAACCCGTAAAGAGACGTGTAATTTTAATTCCGTCTCTTAGAGTTGGCGCCAGAAGAGTTCAAGACCAGCTGGCCGCCGACGATGCTAGGGTTTCAGAGGTTTTTCGTCAAAGATGCCAGCCAACATACCGGCGACATAGTATGATCTTCATCCCTTAAGGGTGGATCGCGAGCAAAACAAGCTCGTTTGTTAACTTTATCAACTTTGAAATTTTGGTTGTGAGTACTAGTTCCAGAGAACGATTCCAAAGTAGAATCATCACACTAAAATTCTTGCAAGGGTGGGAGCCAGAATATTCACCCTTTCAATGGCAAATGTCTACATCTTTTAGATAGTTTTTCATACGCGAGCTCAAGCTCTTCAAAAGCAGTCAGATGCTTTCTTTTTCTTTTGCGTTTGATCCACCAACCGGGTCTATGATGCACCTCACGAAGATCTCGTTTCGGGTCGGGAACTATGGTCGCAAGGTGTTTTTATCGTTCCTGTAATGGTTTATGATTATTGTCCATCCCATTTTGGGAAGATCACTTTTCATGGATCGATTCCAGTTCACCTCTTGGTTTTCCAAACTGGTAGCGAGTAGGGCAACAATCATCCTCATTAGCCACCGGCCAAACAAGGAGAACATAACGAGGAGAGAGGAGAGAGCACCTCTCATGCCTTTTTTTTTCAACTGTTTACTAGAAGAACCCGTGCAATTTGGGTGGAATTTAGTATTAGATAAGAAAAGATAAATGGGAAAGTAACTAGTATGGCGTCTCCTCCACCTCCACGTTTTTAGGGTCAGTTTGTTATGTTCATGGATCATGATCCCCCACCAACCAAGCTATTCTTTACCCTCCTCTCTCTTTTGGTAAACTTCTTCGCAGGACTGGCAATCGGTTTGGGTATAACCGAAACAGTATAGTCGGTTATGGGTTAACCGTTAATTACTTTGTGCTTATCATCAATCACACTGTTTATATTAATTGGTTAAATGAAATTGTATAGTTGGTTCTCTGTTAACCGAATACCCGTTAAGCAAGTGATTCAGCAAGGTTATACCAAAATCATCGATTGATACCCTAACCAACATAAGACCTCTTCCTTTTTTTCAATTGTGCATTTTCGAAATTTTTCCCTAAATTCGTTTGTGTTCTTTTTGTAAGTAGTTAGCATTGAATAAAAAATTATTTAACATAGATATCAATTCATAATCCACTCAATCCAACACAAGTACGCAATAACACCATTCTACCGTGAAATTTGATTAAAGAAGCAGACAAGAATAAGAGGCCCAACAACGATTACTCAACTCCTAAATCCTATCAAATTACATGGAAGTTTAAATGTTATTGATTGTTGTCGAACTACTGTGCACAAGTCCAACTTTCTAATGTACTCCTTCTAAAGCCGTTCCTTGAAATTATTCTCTTTGAACCTAGTCACTATTACAACTAGAGTAGGCAAGAGATATTGCTGGTCTTCAAACATCCTATTATTTTCGGCCATGCCTACGACTCATCAAGGCTTATTATTTTCGTCTCTAACTATGAGGCTGGTGGTAATCAGTTAGTCGGTTACCAATCAGCCGTCGATTAGTAACTAGTTAAATTTGACTAGAAAAAATCGACATTTTACTGTTTAATCATTTATCAATGCAACTGTTAACTACTATTTCCGGTTCGGTTATTTGTTACGCTGCAAATGGATAACCCTTTACCAGGAGGTGGTTGAATACCAAAGGGCTATAAGAAGACTGCCATAGATCCCGCCTTGTTCCTTTCACATTAAATTAGAGTTTGGTCGAGAAGGTGGGCAGAAATGTTTGCTGCTTGCTTCAATTGATAGGGGCATGGCCTACAATTTTAGGGCAGAATTAAACTTCTTGGTGTAGACTTATAGAGAGGAGGGAGTTTGGTACCAGTCAGAGAAACCATGGGACTTGTAAACAACAAGGAGCCAATAGTCTTCTTCTTTGGGCATTTTGAATATAATTTGTAGGCTAGAGTCGGGACCTACAGTTTTACCAACCACATGGGTTTGATGGGTGCTCTGCCACTGAAACCCTATAGCTCAACATTTTCCTAACACAAGCAACATATAGCATAAGATCCAGCTGCTAATCTTTCTTTCTTGTTTCTTAACAAAATAAAAATAAAAAGAAACAAACAAACAAAAGGGACCAATCCTGGACCAGAGTGGCTTCACGAATCATGATCCATTTAATATTGAATCTGAAGGATTCAAGTCTGGGAGGTAAAGAGTTTGTGTTCATGAAATTCAATTTAGTGACACAAATATTTGGTTTCGAGGAAAAATTAACAAAATGAAACAAGAAAATTCATCATATCATATTGAGTGTGGGACTGTGGGTATCATGTTTATGCAGAGATAATCAACACAACACATGGTGACATACGGATTATTCTTTTGTGTGTTCATAATTATCTCTTCGGCGCAATTATGTTGTTTACAAAATGTCATTACGTATTATCAATTTAATTTAATGGTCGGGAACCAATTGGCATGTGACGACTTGCATATCGCGCTCCCTATCGCTCTTTATAACATTTGTTACCACTGGATTAACATGGAGAAAGTTATTGGATCACCATATCAAATTCAGTAATCGGGAATCCACGATGTTGATCCAACGACATCACATGGGCTCTCCTAACAAACAAGCGAAAGCAACCAATCATAACATTAATCGAGAACCGCATGGGAATCAGGGTCAAGACAGAGACATTTGGCCTCTCTTATAGCTACAATACAATGTGATGGGTGTTTTACACTGCACTTATCTAACTCGCCTCCTTCATTTATGATTCGAAAATAAATGCAAAGCAGTTGCAAAGTTTCCACATTTGGGGAGTCTCCCATCGTCGGGAATTTTGGTTCCCCGTACCACACATAATCACTTGCCAGCAGATGATATCAAGTCAAGAGCACAGAGATCAGATCCCTACTTTCTTTCGATAAACTTTTCGGCCATCTTAATTTCCCCACTGGCGTAGAACTGAACACAAACAAGGAAAAGGAAAATAACTGGTTCCCACCACCACTTCAGATATTCCTCTTGAGGAGAAAACCCTAACCAGTTTCCACGAAGATACCAACTTTTCCTAGAAATTGACTCCTCTCTTTGCTTTCAGAACCATGGAAAGGTAGGAGCTTGATCCAGCACTGAAAAGAAATTGCAGGATTCCTCTGCTGCTGAAAACAGAGTACTACTGCTACTCTGTTCTTCCAATTTCGCCGCATGGTCGTGGCCGTAACAATGGTTTTGGTTTCTGGAATCCGAGAACTGAATCCAGTTCATCAATGCTGGAGAGTGAATATTGCTAACGTCGTTGTGGGTTTGGAATCTGACCCAATTACCGTTGCCGCCATTGTTGTTGTCTTCGCTGAAATCAAGGCTCTGACTCTGCATCTCTGACTCCGAAACAACAGGGCATTCTTCTTTCACATACTCCCTGCTCTCTGCTCTCTCTTCTCCCTCCAGCTTCGTTTTCAATTCCTTCACCTGCCCACACACAGAAGAATAAAGGCGCATCAGTTTGTTGTTTCTACCCCTGTAAATGTAATTTTGTTCCTAACAAAAAGGTGAAAGCTTTACTCTGAGGGAAAGGGTACGGTTCTCTTGCTGGAGGCTCTTGAAATCGAGCTTAAGAGAATCGTAACTGGATTTAAGCCCACAATAGTCTCTCTCGAGCTGCTTGGTCTTCCAGCGGGCCCGTCGGTTCTGGAACCAGATCGCCACCTGCCGCGGCTGCAGCCCTAGTTCCTCCGCGAGTTTCACTTTCCTCTCTGGCTCCAGTTTATTGTCGACTTCGAAGTTCTTCTCCAGAGCTTTGACTTGTCCCATATTCAGCCTTCTTTTCTTCTCTACAGCGCCATGGCAGCTTCCAGCAGCTTCTTCTAATTCTTCGTCGCGAGTGTCTTCTTCGTCCAGGCTGTCCAGCATTGCCTGGAACTCTTGGCTGTATCCCGCCATCTTGGATTTTCTGGGCTTCTCATCATCAACTGGAGACATCATTTTCTTTTTATTAGAGTGAAAGAGATGAATTCAGTGTTTGAGGATATGGGAGATGCTTGTCAGTTAGTACCTTCTAAGGAAGAGAGAGAGACGAAAGCAGCCATTGGGAGACTCCGAGAGAGCAGAGAGAATGCAGAGAAATGGGAAATTTTTGTGCAGATTAGAGAAGAAACGAGTTGTTATGTTTTGGCCGACTTTCTTTCTTATTGGTTTCGTCTGGAATGGAGGGGGGAAAGGAAACAGCTCAACAGGAAGCAGAGTAGTGACCGGCAAATTCTTCAAAGGCTGCTAATCATTAAGTAGTCATGTATGTAACTTTCGGAAGGGGAGAGAGAGAGAGAGAGAGAGAGAGAGAGAGAGAGAGAGAGAGAGAGAGAGAGAGAGAGAGAGAGAGAGAGGGGTCTGAGAGACTGAGGCAAAGGCACCACTTTCTCTCTTATATAAAGTTAGTGCTCTTTCATTCGCAGGTGAAGCTTGCTTTCAATTTTCTTCTTCTTTTGCTTATAAAGGATACATTTCAAATACAAGTAGATTCTCAAATTAAAATATTGGAAAAAAATATTGATGAAATATACCATAAAAAGTTATGGTGAAATAGTTATCATTCTTGACAAAATATTGTATTTATTCATAATTGATGGCACTATATTATCCACAATGAGTGAAATGACTCGATATTATCTATCATACTACCCTAATTAGGGACTGAATCCTGTGACTAAGAGGGTGCTTAGTCACTTGACTAAGCCTCTCGCAACCCTTAGATCTGGACACACCAATCTGACGGTTAAAAAGTGGGAAGAACTTTTTAATTAATGACAACGGTAGTTTGGGTATAATGAAAAATTACGAAGTATACATACCGGACTTACAAACAGTACAAACCATACAAACATACGAACAATACAAACTAGAGCGACAAAACGTACAAACAGATTTACAAACAATACGAAACATACGAACTATGCAAACATTAATACAAACTAGAACGACAAACATTACAAAACATACTAACAGTACAAAATGTCACTACTTACAATACAAAACAGTAAACTTGTATTACAAATCAATGAATACAAAATATACAAATCACAACATATAATAGACAAACAAACATTACAAATTACAATTTATACAATTAGTCATATAAACATTACAAACATAATAGATAAAAATGACAAACTAAAATGATAAACTATACAAACCGAATTGATACAAAATCACAAAACAAATTTACAAACATTACAAATTCGTCCGAAAAATATAACAAAACAAATGCTGTTGCCAGAAAATCTTCCCCGTCGTCGCTGGAAAATTCTTCGATTACGAAACCTCTCTCTCACCAAAAATGGAGGGGGACTAAAAATGGTCTCTCTCTGAGGCGCACAAAAAATGGATGGAAGGCAAAAAAAAATGGTGGCCGCCGGAGAATTATGGCCGCCGGGGAGGACGTCGGGAAAGTGTGGTAGGCTGAGGAGGATGGGAAGTGCCGAGTTTCTTTTAATTACTAATTGTTAAAAAATAAAATAATCATGAACCATATAATTACTACATTACTCTTCATTAAATTAAATTAACTCGAGCTATTGGATTTTAATAAGCTTGAAGGATTGAGATCGACTTAGCCAAATGACGAAGGGACCCCTAGTTACCTGATCTTGTCCCCTAACTAGGCCAAGTATAACCTAGTCAGGCGATACAACACAATGGTGACCGAGGTCATAATCTATGGGCGCAGAGTCTAGCGCTCCTTAAGAGCTCAATTGTTATCTACTCTATCTTTAGGTTGTTTTTAGGATTAATCACTCATGCTAAACACTATACAAGTATGCAAAAAAAGATAAATGGTATATGGGGTTCGACTTCCTCTCCTAACATGTCTGGTGATACATTGTATGAGATAGATATCTATGACAAATTATGGTGTGAGGATCACCAAAATGGGAATTAGTACAATGAGACTTGATAGGGTGACAACACCTATTGTGTTTTTACTGTGATAACACTAGTGTCCAATCAAGAGCAAACTAGAATTGTGATGACTTTTTTTTAGTTAGATTGATCTTTTTGAACGTAAATAGTTAGATTGATCTAGTGTAAAATAAATGAAAGTGTATAATCGTCATTATAATATTATGTTTAAAAAATAATAAAAAATATTAAATTAATGATGACAATATTAAATAATTATAAATATATATTTTATTTTCTGTCCAATTTTTTGTTGCCGGTCGGATCCTCCCATCGTGTTCTGAAAATGCTCACCATCGTCACAATCCCGTCACTGTGATCGGAATATGCTTATCGACGTCAGAGTCTAGTCATCGGGCGTAGAAAATATGCTTATTGGTGTCGAAATCTGGTCATCAACGGTCGTCGGAGTTTGCTCAACAGTCAGCAATCACCGGATATTATGTTCTGCACTATGAGATTTATGATTTTCTTTCTCAAATTTTTGGTATGTCTTTTATGGTATGCTTTATTGTGTTTGTGGTTTGCATTAAAAAGTTTCTGATGTGCTTTCGAAAATTGTGGTTTGCATTGTGAGGTTTCTGGTTTGTTTTAAATTTTAATAGATTTGTGGTCTGCATTTAGAGGTTTTTTGTTTGTTTTTTGTGGGTTGTTTTATCGTGTTTGTGGTTTGCATTACGAGGTTTCTGGTGTGCTTTTGAAAATTCTATGGTTTGCTTTGTGAGGTTTCTGGTATATTTTAGGAGACTTGTTGTTTGCATTAGGAGGGTTTTTTATATGCTTTTTGAGGTTTACTTTATCGTGTTTGTGGTCTACATTAGGCAGTTTTTGGCGTGCATGATATTTTTTGTGGTTTGTTTTGTATGGTTTCTGGTCTATTTCAAAACATTTATGGTCTGCATTAGGAAATTTTTGGTGTGCATTAGAAACATTTATGGTCTACTTTGTGATGTTTTTGGTATTGAAAGATTCATGGTATGCATTAAGAGATTTTTGATATGCTTTTGAAATATTGATTCTCATGAGCCGGGTGATGTTCATTCAGGAGGAGGAAAACTCTCAACCTTTCTTAATGGATACCTCGACTTCTTGTTTCCCCCTCATTTGCTAAGGATAAATTCTTCACATTACGAATAATGGGATATATTAAATCCCCAAAGATAAAAAAAATGCCACTTAGCAAAGTCATAAACAGTTGGTGCCAATAACTCGAGTTGTTGGGAGAAGATTATGCTGGATCTTATTGTTGAGAAAGGGAATTTGTTGTGAAGAGAATCAGAGAGCAATCCAATGTGATTTTCTTCTGTATATTCAGTTTTGTTTTATACACGATTACATGAGAGTCAGTTGAGAGATTGAGGGATAGTGTACAAGAATGAGGATCAGTGTACAGGAGACGTGGGAGAATAATAAGGACAGAAAATAAAGAATAAAAAGAATTGTTATTCTTTTTATTCTTTTCCTCTAATACGCCTCCGCAAGATGGAGAAGGTGTCAACGACTCCAATCTTGGACCGAAGAAGAAGAAACTGGGAGGCTGAGAGAGGCTTAGTGAGCATGTCAGCGAGCTGCTGTGCAGTCGGGACATAGCAAACACATAGACGGCCGACCTGAACTAGTTGGCGTACGAAATGGTAGTCAAGAGCCAAATGCTTCATATAGGAGAGGAACAACGGATTGGCACTGAAGCAAGTGGCACCGAGATTGTCAAACAGCAGCATGGGAGACTCAGAGAGTGGTTGATGAAGTTCTGTCAAAAGATTGTGAACCCATTCCAACTCAGAGGCGACATGGGCAATGGCACGATATTCCACCTTTGTACTGGAGCGAGCCACCGTTCGTTGTTTCTGAGAACGCCAAGAAATAAGAGTGGAGCCCAAGTAAACCAGATAGGCTGAAGTGGAGCTGCAATCATCGAGGTTGCCTGCCCAATCAGAATCCGCAAACGCCGTGACTCGCATAGGAAGAGAAGAATGCCGAATAGCCAGACCGGAGGATATGGTACCACAAACATAGCGGAGTAAACGTTTGAGGCATTGCCAATGATGAGAGGACGGGGAATGCATGTACTGCGAGAGCTTGTTGACAATATAGGCGATGTCAGGACGCGTGTAGACAAGATACTGAAGGGCACCTAGAACTTGGGGAAAGCGGGTAGCATCAGTAGGAGAGGTGCCATCATGTAGTGACAGAGAAACAGTGGAGGCAAGCGGCGTAGAGACCGGGGAAACGTCCAACATATGGAAGGGAGAGAGGACATCTGTCATATACTTGTGATGAGAGAGAATATAACCAGTGGCTGTAGGAATAACCTCAATGCCTAGAAAGTAATTCACGTTACCAAGTTCCTTGAGAGAGAACTTACTCGCCAGAGCAAATTGAAAGGCAAAGAGAGTTGCAGCATCATTCCCCGTGAGCAAAAGATCGTCGACATAGACCAGAAAATAGAGGACGATGCCCGAGTGATGATAAACAAAGAGGGATGCATCAGACTCGGTCTTCCGGAAGCCAAAAGTGAGGAGAAAGGAGCCGAGAGCAGTGTACCGTGCCCGTGGGGCCTGGCGTAAACGATAAATAGCACGACGGAGGCGGCAAACATGGTTAGGATATTTAGAATCAATGAAGCCAGGAGGTTGTCCATGTATACCTCATCGTCGAGCGGCCCTTGCAGAAAGGCTTTGTTGACATCGAACTGCTTAATAGCCCAATTCTGAGAAAGAGCAATGGAGAAAACTGTACAAACCGTAACAGGTTTGACCACCGAGCTGAAAGTATCCTTGAAATCCACACCAGGCCGCTGATGAAAACCTTTGACAACAAGGCGACATTTGAATAGATTGATAGAGCCATCAGAATGATGCTTAATGCGGTAGACCTAGCGGTTGCCAAGAACATTGAAATTAGGTTGCCGGGGAACAAGGTCCCAGTTATGATTACGAAGAAGAGCAGAGTATTCCCGACAAAGTGCAGTATCCCATTCCACGTAGCGCATGGCCTCTTTGACAGAACGAGGCTCAAGGGGCAGAGTGCGAGAAGTGAAATTTGTTGGTGAAACACCCTAACCCGGCCGGGTACTACTTTTACTAAAATGCCCTTGATAAATAAAATACTCAAATCTTAAATTGCAGAGGGAAAAATTTTCACAAATAAAATACTGAAAACACACACTTGTAGCTCAGAGCAAAGCCCTAACACGTGGGCAAATTAAAATCAAACTTTAAAATCTCAATCTGATCTCCAGTCTATACTCATAATCATAAATGTAAATAACTAATAATCTCTAATGTTGTTGCTACTGAAACTTTGACTAAGCATCCTCTGTGACGCTTATACTGCCCTCCTCTAGCTGCCTGCCCTCGAATTCGCTTGTCGCTAAATGCTCCTCTAGCTCTTCCTCTAGCTCTTCAAACTGGTGAGTGAGATGGGGTCAGTCTACGCCCT